AAAAACAAACTCAACAATCTCAAAAACAAATGTCATTAAGGAGATCCATTAAAGAAAAGAGAAATGCAATTCAGATAATTTTATAGTCTTTCTCTGAAAAAATAAGGATGGTATTGGGTTGATAGATGAAGATCTGATTAATCAACTTTCATCAAACCACACAATTAAATAATTCTCAATAGTGAATTGATGCCATAAATAAAGAGATAAAGTTCATGAGTAACAAAGATGTTTGAGAAATCATCCAATTGCCTGAAAGTGTGAATCTCTTGTTGTAAACGACTTTACTGAAAAGGAAGACATTGACATTAAAGAGACTTTTCTCTGATTTTTATGAAAGACTATTTTAGGACTATTGTGGGATTTGTGACACATTTTGATCTTAGACCACGTTAGATAATTTACAAATTAAAGAAATTCATCTATGGGTTTAAGAATGTTTTCGCCAATGGTATCACAAATTCCATCAAATAACTATCTCGTTTTTTTTAGATGAATTCAATTGATGATTGTGTATATCACAAGTTCAGTGGGAGTAAGTATAAATTTCCAGTATTGTATGTCGATGACATACTGCTTGCTTGCAATGATATAAACTTATTGCACGAAACCAAGAGACTTTTGTCATAGAATTTTGAAGTGAAAAATGTTGGTGACGCCCTTTTTATGTCAGGGATATAGATACGCTGGAATCGTTCTTTTAGTATTTTTGGATTATCACGAAAGAACTATATTGATAGATTTGGAATACAAAAAATTCCCTATACTTCATCAATTAGGAGTTTAACATATGCTTAGGTTTGCACACATTTGAATATAGCATTCATTATTAAAATGTAGGCAGATATTTAAGTAACCTTGGGATGGATATTTGAGAAGTAGCTAATCGAGTTTTTCGGTATCTATAGAAAACTAAAGATTACATGATCACATATAGGAAATCAGACCAATTAGAGAATATTGGATATTCTGATCTTGATAATGGAATATGACTACGAAATTTTGTCAATAAGTTGCACA